ATTGAAAAAGTAGCCTGAATTTTCCTGTTCACAACTTCCTAAGACATACTTTATGCCTTTTAAAGATTTGGCAATTACTGAGTATGTCCTGTTTTGAATTTATTCTCTCTTTAAATTAATCTTCTACCTTGCTCCCAACAGCTCCTTTTTTAGAAAATACAACATACAATAATCTGGAAAGTGCAGCATTATTATAGACTTTTGAAGCTTCTACACTGACACAGCATATACTTTTTACATAGTCAAAATGGCAAAGCAGGTCTGAACAAGTGCATTAATAATGCCGACTTACAGAACAATCTAAGTTAGTCCAATAAAACCTCTGCGGTACACGTTTCTGAAGATACTGACAATGCAGCTTACTGCATTGAGTACATTGTTACAACTTGGCAGAATACTTCATTTAATGTTTTCAACATAGTTAAGAGTCTGTTCCAGATCTAGAGGCTAGAACAGTACAAAGTTTTTACAACTCTTAAAACAGAAGTGAAGATTAAACTCCCAAGAACAGTCCACCAGACACTACAAAACTGTTGCCACCCTGTTAAATTAATTTTTTCACATTCAAGCAATGCTTGATTTCAAACACAAAAATTTAATGGCACTCTAAAGAAATAAAATATACTGTGAAATAGACTTTAAGCACATGAACTGCTACGAACACACATAGAGGGTTATAGAATTTACATGAAAGTTCTAAAGGTGTGTGCTGTACTGGTGTTTTCTACACCAATTGGAATAAAAGAGATTCAACTTATTCTTATTTCAACTTCTGCTTCAGGCACATCACAGTTATTTCAAGCAGCCTCTGCTACCTCCTATTTTCTCAACCCTAAGGATGCTCTGAATTTTATTCAATCCCTGTTTCATGCTTTTGTACTGTGCCTTGCACTGCAATCTTTGTTGTACCCCACGATTTACTTCAGCATAGCTGTCTGACTCCAGATCCAACACGCCTATCACCATTGTCACAGTCTAATTCAAGGATTTGTAGCTTAATAAAATAACATTTAAAAATTATGAGTAGCATGCAAGCTGCTTACAGAACTGCTCTCTCAGATTCTGTCTTTCCGTACTACTCTGCCAATACTATTGACACAGAACAGTGCCCAGTAATATCCATCACCTTGTTTCAGAGACACAGATTTGATGAGGTGGTTACACCTCCCTTTTCATAACTTGTAAGAAAACCTCATAACTGTGGCAATGCTCATGACATGGCTGCGTTCTCCAGTATGCTTTGCTCACAATAGTTACAGGAAGCTTTCAGCTAAAAAAACCTGCACAATCAGTCTATATTCATGCACAGTATCTTTTAGGCACCACTGCTACAGCAAGTCAGGAACGTGCAAATCATCTCAGCAGCAATGTGAACTGTGACTCAAAGTTACATTTAGCTGCCTTAGAGAATCAATAGCAGGGAAAAAAAAAAATCACCTTGTTAAAAAATAAGGAAAGGGACTCATTTTTACATTCCTTATACTCTCTTCTACCTCCTGTACTTCTAAAGAACATTGTAAAGAGTAATTATAGCTATGATCAGATTTAAATCATGTGATATTGTGAATTCAGAACAAGTTTTACAAAATGTCTTTCTCTGTTCTAAGTTACAAGGGTACCTTTAAACAAAAGAGCTTTGAGAAATACTACTTAGCCTTAAACATTATGAAACATTACAAAACAATAAGGCATTAGCATGAATTCAACTCAATCCTGTCCATTTCAGCCTAACAGCTACAGGACTAATGGACACTTAACAAGCATAGGAAGAAAAGCTCTTTCTTGTAATACTCTAATGTTTCAGAAAAATTTTCTCCAGCAAGGTCAAAATTTGCAGTGAAGAAGTAGGCAGAGTAAAGTAGGGAAATGCCTCAGCATACTAAGAGATAAAGGACAACAAAGTACCAAAAGAAACAGGACCCTTCATATCATGCCCAGGACAATGCCTGCCACCTGTAGATGAAAAAGAATGTTTTATGCTCTCCACCTGAATGGAAACCAACATGTCATCTGAGCGTAACTTAGCCAATTAGATCCAGCAGATCAAGTAGTTAGAGACATGGGAAAAGTAAAAGTGGAGAAGGGGAATTTCCATCATTTCCCATTGATCAGACACACACGACAACTCCACGTGCAGTCAGGGTTGCAAAAGTATGTAAACACCAACAGAATGCGTGTCAGAAAACTTTGTTACTCTTTCCTGGTTTTCCACCTGCACTGACACATGTCCTTCTTGTCTGGAACTGACAATGAAAGGGAGGAATACTATACCTGCAGTGTTCTCTGATGGTGGAAATATGCATAGTTAAAACCTAAGTTCAGATGATTAAAGGCATCTGGTACTGGTCTACAGTTACAGATACATATTCTTCATAAAACTATATGCTAATTATTTTATATGTTCAATTACCTCTGATAATGTTAAGCTCCTTATGACACAACATGGAACTGGAAACACAGAGGTACATGGCATTCTACTGCTGAATTTAGTACTGGGTCATGTAAAACCACAAATAAAAACTGAAAGAACAACTGGTTTAAGTCCGATGTTTTTAGTGGTATGGAACACTGGCTTGTTTTATAAGCAGCTTCTGAAACATATTTGTATCCTAGAATACATTCTAATAAAGCTCAGCATAAAGCACAAAGGACAATAGCTGGACAAATAATCTCCATGATATTCCTGTACCAGATGAGTATTAGATGAGCCTTGGTAATAATACATATATTATTATTACATATAATATGTAAGATATTACAAAACCCAAACTTTTTTCAGCACTTCAGAAAACAAACTTATTGCAAGAAACGGAGAGGACAAAACAGCTATACAGACCAATATATGTTAAGGTAGCTGGGATAATTAAAAGCCAGGAATTTCTTGTTTTCATTTTACCATCCATGCACCATATGCAAGATGCAAAAAGGAAGCTAACTGAAGGAAAGTTCTCTCTTGATTCCAGTTTTATTAATGAGCTTAATTTCCACTGTGTCAACTAAAAGACAGGAATTTCAAACTGAAACAACTGCCTATATTTAGGCATTGTGGTTAAGCATATTACAGTAAGCACTACAGTTTCCACTAACAGTGCAAGATTTAGCCTGGGATCTAGTCAATATCAAAAATTAACTAATGACACGGACTAAAAATTAGAAACTAAAAATATGAGAATTTTCAATGAGACTATATTATAGCATACATTTTTATTATAAATAGTCATTCTGTGATAGCTGTTCATGAGGCATTTCTTTAAAAAAAAAGTTTAAACTCATATGCCCATATTTAGAGTTCTTCTAACAGTGCTTCAAAATATGTCTCTTCATTGTTAAAAACAAAACGTAATTTGTAACTCTAAAAAAATTCCGCTAACATGCTATTAGGTATATCAAGATGGAGGCAAACAGGCAGCTTTTTTGAACTTTTGTTATTTTTATAACATATATATATAAGAAAAGCAGTTATCGCAGTAAACACCAATTAACTTCAAAAGCTACTTTCAAATATTGCCAGTCTGTTTTCCTAAAGCAGTTGTCTTTCAAAATAATAATTTATTAAAAAAATTACATATGCTGCTTCATGAGCATCGCTTAATTCACAGAAAGCAGATTTTAAGGTATGTTGTAAAATGAGGGTTACAATGAAGATGGCAACCTACTTTAAATACTTTCACAGAAAAATAAAAGGCATTTGGTGCCCAATTTTTTATCCAATAGTTCTCTAAATTAAAGAGTCCTTATCTGAAATTTGGGTTATTATTAATTTTGTTGTTTAGTTTTAAGAAGAATGAAAGCAGTGATACATTTGGAGAGCTAACAGCCAATGTAAAATACATTACTTTTGCATACATATATGAACTTCAACTGTAACTCTTAAAATTATGTTTAGATATGGGCATTGAATTTTTTTGGAGGGAGAAGTTTGTGATTTATATGGTAAGATAGTTCTTGGAGTATTCTGTACAAATATTCGGGATCTAAACATTACTTGTTTTCTTAGCTTTAAATTTCCACTCAACTTCTAGCTAAAATGCATTGGCATCAGATCTCTGAATTCTCTTACACTTTAGAAGATGTTTTGTTGCACAGATTTTTGGTTTTGGCTCTTAGCTTTTCAGCTGACATCCAATATTTACCTGTCAATCTACACTGTTCTGAAAATAAGCCTGCCGCTGCAAAAAATGTAATGTTTGAAGTAGTCTGCTAAAATCTAGCATGGATACCACAGCCCATGACTCAACAGGATAGCAGATCAAGCTTTACATGCCTCATGTGCTTCATATGACATCAAAAAATACTACAACTACCTGACAATTTGAACTGACTTAAGGATTTAGTAAGTTTACTGCTTTAAAATTGTTTTAAAATTTTCCAGTGAGTTAACTGAAATCTGGATCGCTATCACCTACCTGAAATACTTAACTAGATGCTGCCCACATCTATAATAAAAATGTCATCTGCATAAATTCTGTACCTCAATTGTTGGACTAAGCAGAATTGTGATCAGGCCTGCAGCCAAAGTAGTACTGCTTGGTGACTTACAACTGCTCAGTTCCAGTAGGAATGATTTTAGACTCATGATCTCATGTAATTACTCTGTGTTTCTTTATAATTTGGATAAGATAGTATTACCAGAAAGGGGAGAAATATTTCCACAATTGCTATGACATAAGACAGCGTAAAACAACTTCAAGCTACACTCCATGCTAACCAGTCAGGCTCATTCTCCTAAATATTTTTTGTAACAAACAAACTCGTCCAATTAATAACGTTCTCTAAAGATACATTCTGCAAATTAATTATGGTTTAATAAGGTGATGAGCCTGTTTTATACGCTTGTGTTATTGAATGGGAAACTTTCACACTAAAATTAACATCAGAAAAGTCTAATGCACCTTTTCTGTCCTGTTTCACAAAATAAAATGTAGACCAATCAGCTAAGAAAATAATAATAAAAAAAATCTGTATCCTAATTTTTACTACATGTAAAAATAACAACTTACCAGACTTGTGCTTCTTGTGTTTTGCTTTCTTTTTAATAATAAATAACTTGTTCTGGATCTCAGATTTAAAAGATTTGAATGGATGAAGATGAATCTCACGTTTTCTTTGCAAGTCATCAAGTTTTCTCTGTAGATTTTCATTTAGAATATCCTTCAACTTCTTTTTTTTCTTTTTCTTCTTTTTTGCCCGCAACTTGTTTAGTTTATTATTTCGCAGTGAGTTCTCTAGCATTGTTTCTTTAGCAGATTCATGGTAACTTATGTCTTGGTTGTCATTATGAGTGCCATTGACATGCATCTGGCAAGTTTTCAGTGTGTTCTCCTTGAACGGACTGATCTCAGCTTTCACTCTGGCCATTTCAGCACAACCTTGTCCATTCTCCACAGCCCCTATTTCTCCTGAACTAGGGTAGCCACCCATACCAGCAATCTCTCCTGAACTAATCAAATTCCCCAAATTCTCTTTATAGCAACCAGTTTTTTTGACATCGCAGACTCTTGAGGTCTTGATTTCATAGTTAACCTCAAGCTCCTCTGTAGTGACTCTAAAGCTACCTAAATGTGGTTGTTTTTCTGGACAGATAACAACAGAGTCCATACTTTTCTCTACATCTGTCTTGGAATGATGTAGCAGCTCTTCTCTACCACCAGAACTGACCTCCCCATTGCTTTTGCTTACATATTCATGTTTTACTTTCTCTGATTTAATACGTGACACTTTTTTAACTTTGATGGGAGGAGATGGGAATTCAGGAGCCTGAAAAGGTCTTTGTTTGTAAATCCGAACATCTGCACCGCAGAACTGAGGAAAATGAACATACGCATTCTCCAAGTAGTCATAACCAAGAATTACTTCTCTGCATTCGTGGATAGGCTGACCTAGCACTGCATCCTGAACATCCTTTTGCGTTTCATAGACGAAATCACAGAGACCTTTTAGCAGCCACACTTTTTGGTTGAATGGTAGCTCATGAAATGGTTTTTCCTGCAACGGATTAACTTCTCCAAGGACTTTGAAAAACTGTGGACTCAGTCCAATTTTTTCTGCAGAGCTATTAGGATTGTCAGTCTGCCCTACAACAGTATACCAGTGTTGTACTTTCTGCCTGAGTGCTGCTTCCCAAGCCCTGTAAGAAAGTGTAGGCCTGCGATGTAACGTAGATCTGCGATGAGGAGGACTTAACAAAGAAGTCATTATTTTAGATAAAAAAGCATTACACTGAGGCATCAGAAGACAACGTTCCAATTCATAGAATACTATTTCAGGTAAATTTAAAATCTGTTGTGCTAAACAAAGAAAATGACCAATAGCTGGAATCTCCCACATTGTCTCCATCCTTGTAGGTGCTGCTTGAGCTAAAAGTGACTTTTCCCATTCTTCTATTTCTTTCTGACTAGCTTCTTCTGCTTCTTTTCTTTCTTGCTCTCTTAGCCTATTAAAAGAAAGTTCATGAAAATTCAGATATTAGGTGAATAAAAAAAACTGGGAAGAAAAAAAAATCAGAACTACAGCATGACAAACATACTTATCTTGAAGTAATAAAGAACACAGTACATAAAGTTTTAATTCAGTTTGTCTTACTTTGGACTACACAATGCAACACTGCACCAAAATGGGAAATTATAGTCTTTTATTTCTATCACCATTAGTTTAACAAAGGGAAAAAGGTAAGAAAAAAAACTGGCAGATATCAATAGTTTGGTTTTTTTTTTTTAAAAAAAAGTCTAAACCACCCAAAAAACCATATTCCCTTCCCCAATCCCTTTTTGGCAGGATTAAGTATTTCCAACAAACTATCAATACAAAAGTCTCTGAAAACAAATTCCAGATAAATCTTGCTCTCAAATGCCACGTGGCTCCTGTCACCTACCTTACAACTCCCTTCCTCGGTACACAAGTATACATGCCTAACTGTTAAGTGCTTCATTCATATACAAAAGCCATTTTCCCTCCCACCCGTAGGCGTGTTACTAGTTGATTTGCAATGGTGGTCAAAAAAGAAACAAATATCAGGATGCATGAAAAATGTGATGGAAAATAACACCAGAAATAAAATGTCATTACATTAATAAATGGTTTGCCCTCACCTGAAAAACTGTATTCAGTTCTGGTCCCCCTATCTAAAAAAAGGATAGAGCAGAAATAGTGGGTATTCAGAGAAAGAGGTTATCAGTAATCAGAGGCCTGTAAAAACTTCTGAAAAATCTGGGACTCTACACAAAACACTAGCAAGAGGAAACATGACAGCAATATACAAAGCTAGTATGATAGGCTGGGAACCTCTATTTACTTTTACTTGTAAATTCATCATGAAATTTAAAGGCAACAAATTTAAGAGGAAAAATGCTTCCACTTCAGATAATCAGTCAAGCACAGCTTACCAACTTACTAGAACACAGGGTACGTTAATTTAGTTCCAAAGTGAAAAACAACATCTGCACAAATCATGAGAATGTCAAGGGTTATCAGTAACAGCAGGGATTTTTCTTTAATGTTGCAATGGTAAACTAACATTTTTACCTCAAGGCATGACCAGATTCCAAAAGACAGGATTAGGATGCAGCTGTACTTACAGGAATGTTTTTCTAGAGCTCATCCAAATCATCTCATATCTTTTTCTCTGAAGCTTCTATCACTGACCACTGCTAGAAACAATCACTTGTGTACCTCACTAATGTGACATGTTACTGGAATTGACATGTCCTTATTTCCAGATTTCTAACCTCCAGTTATATTTCTTCATATACAAGCAGCAAATAAATGCCATTCAAAGCATCAATACTTTCCAAATTCAGCCAAAGAGTAATGGCGTATTAAAATGTTTCTTTTGACAACATGAAGCTAATAGTGGCTTCTAGCATGGAGAATGTGTATTTGAAGCATTAAATATCGACTAGATACCTCAGTAATGTAAGAAATGTGACAAACCTAGCTTAGCCCACATTTAGTGTCAATGCAGGAGAAATATGCCATGACCACAAACTTAAATTTACATCCTCTGTGTATGCAAAATGACATATAATACAGTAAGATTCCACTGAATGCTTTATCTGATACAATCAAATTAAATTTCAAGTGACTTTTTACCATACTTTGAAAAGAAATTTTCGATACCACATACATGCATCCTTGTTATTTATGTACTTATCAAATGCAGAAAGACAGTTTCATGTAGAACATAAAATTAAAATGTAAAGGCAAACAGGTCAGTAAATTCTCCACTTCACTCTGCCAATGCAGCATTAATTTACCCATATAATGGGCGGGATCTAAAGACAAAATCCCACTTTGCAGCGTTAATTTAAACATACAATGAATGTGGTCTAACGACAAAATCCCATTTGCCATTCTAGATGAATAAACCAGTAAATTCAACAATACTACTTGCACAGGTAAAGTGAGCATTTTTTTAGTCTGACTTTTGTTCTATTTCCACATGTTAATATTGCATTAATATCATAAATAAACTAAAAATAATATATAAAAAAAATCTTACAAGTGAGGCAGAGGAAGAAACAATAGTAAGTAAAAAGTGTTCTCAAAAATAAATTTCAAAGTATTCCTGAATCCCACTCCCTCCTCCCTCCTAACTGTAAAAAATACTTCCAAATAACCTGCTGCTGTGAACTCTATTAAAATAGTATGGAAATAAGCTTAAATACGAATAGATTGACAGTGAGTACATTTGTGGAAACAAACATATTTCGGTATTGTTTAATAATACCACAGGCTATAGATGATCTAAAACATTGTCTTTGCAAGCAGTTTCAATTTATCAATTAATAATTTAAATTGAGGTAGAATTCTTAAAATAAATACAATACACTAGATTTACCTCTGTCTTGTACTTCGTAACATTACAAAATTATACTACGTTAAAGATCTTCTCAAAAAGAAAAAGATATGGTACTTCACTTGCAAAATTTTTGCATTTTTTTAAAGCTATCATTTTATCACAAGATGTGTAGTCATTCCATTCTCAGTAGACATTCAAGAGAAAATGTAAATAACAGGACACTTTCATATCTTCATTACTGAGGTCTTCCTACTAGCTGCCCATCTTTTGGGGGGCATAGCTTTTTCCTGGGGTGTTTTTTTGAGAGGGGGGAGGAGGATGAAGAGGGGAGAGGAGGTGGGGCAAGGGAGCAGGGGTGGAGTGGCAAGGAGGGGCGAGAGAGAGAGAAACATTTGATATTTAGCAGGACAAGTATCCTTACACTGAGAAATTCTCTGGACAAACATATTTGGCTTTTATGCTGACAGCAATTGTAAAACCCCTGTTGTTTCATACTTTCATTTACTTTTATCAGGAATTTGTCTGCAGACATGTATCGTGTTCACAATAAACTATTCTAAGGTCAAGCTGACATTTCCAGACTAAGAAAGGACAAACATATTCCTAGATCTGCAGCAGTTGTTCTGCAGCTCTTGAGTGGATAAAACCATGTGGCACCTGACCTTAAAACTCAGCAGACACACTCCCCAAGTACAGATACCACCTAAAACAAAGTCCAGGCACAACTCCCCACTTCTCCTCTAATTTTCTCCCTTAAGACAGCAGATGCATCTCACCAGCTAATTCCTTCTCACTTTCAACAAGAGATTTCACCTGGAGGGGAGAGGAGACAAAGACTAGGTTGTGCTTTCCCCCCAGTTATCACTTCTAGCCCACTTAAGTGTTGAGTAATTTTTCACAGGGAAAAGGCAAGGCATTGAAACTCTGATAACAAAGCAGAGAGAACTGTTTTAACTCTACAATAACTTGTTTCTACAAACTTTATTTAAAAAAAAACCACTAGTAGTCAGATGAAATTAAATTTGGAGATGCCCATGTGACCTTAGTTCTGTATCTGTAATGTCTTACAGCATATTATGACATACTCTACATTTTTCCATAGCACCCAGTTCATCCCATGCTCATGTCCTCCTCATAAAAGGCAAAACTGACTGTATAACCCTACCCCATTCTACCATTTGCTAATTTAAATTACTGACTTGCAACTGGAATTGAATTCTTTAAATGTTTTAATGAACATGTCTGAAACATCTGAAACAGAGGATCATGTTTTCAGAGATGTTAAAGATATAGAACTGCCTAGCATAACTTGCAACAACTCAAAGTTGTACAGACACTTAATTTCCATTGAATTCAACCAATTAATTACCTGTCATTCACTGGTGGTTTTAAAAACTTCAGTAGTAACCTACCTCTACATTTTGGTATCTAAATGCCTCTAAATCAGCAAGCATTTCCAATTATATAACAATTCCACAATTATTTGGTGTTAATTGATATGTAAGTTAGTATGTATATTGATATGTTACTTAATTAGCATGTAGCCAAGCAGCTGAGCAGAACCTCATGGAAATACAACCAATAATCCAAAAAAGATATTCAATATTCTGTTTATTAAAAACAAATGAACAGAAGGAAAGCTTATAAACAAGACTGACAAGAAAAGTAAATCAGATGTTACAGATATACTTTGGGGGGAAAAAAGTGCTTTTGCTGCTGTACAAAAACTATTAGCTGCAAAATAGTGAAATCAGCTTTGCAAAGACATCTTCTCAGTTTTTATACGTTGAGTCTACCATGATGAATGTATCACTTGGAAGAGGTTATAAAACATTACCTAAAGAAAAAATGAAACCGATTGTGCGAGACAATGAATAAACTACAAGAAAGAAAAAGAGAACTCTCTACAAAGGATACCTATATAAAAAAAATAATGTAAGGATCTGGAGAAGGACTTCCATCAAGTTAACTACAGAAAAGAAGATAAAAACCTCACTTCAGGATATTCTTCCAAAATATACAGTTGAAAAAAAAGCTTGTAACATCAATTTAAAGGATTTTGGGAAAAAACCCTGAAAACTATTTTAAAGATTTCATTTACTGCAGTTCTTTCTACTCATCGTAAGATGCCTGTGCCTTACAAGAGAATCTAAAAGCAAATTATTAGATATTAACTTGGACTTCAATAGGTAATTTCTTTAGGCATAAGGCTAAGTTTTGCAGAAAAGCACTTGCATTTGCAAGCTTACTTATCTGGGGCTGATAGTATGTAACTCCTAGTGAGGTGGCTAACCAGTATGAACTAAGATAATTACTAGCTAGAAAGTCCACGTATGCAGTGGTCAGCTGGATGGCCAGACAGTGAGCGCTTTTTCACATTCCTGATAACTCATAATCAGTTGAGTGAACAGCAGGTGCTGCCTATCCAAACACAACTGATTTGCCATCACACAAGCAAGTTATATTACCACACTACACACAAGTTTATGGAGAAAACCAGCAGCAGAGCAAGACCAGGAGGAAGGCAAATTTCGGTACGGTAGAAATTAAAACCCTAATAGCCAACTCAAATGAGTGGGTAAACTATCACAGTCATTCATAATTATAGTTTGGCACAGGACAGCCTATTTTGTAGCAACAGATTTGGACACTCATTCTTTTACAACTGTGATGAAAGACTAAGTGAAACAACCAGTAATAATAACCAATAAAATAACCTGTATCCACTAAAGTAGCACTTTAGTTCTAAGAATACAGTTTATACCATGAGTTCTACTGGGATACATTAAAATAAATAAGAATTCTGCATTAACATTTTGTGGCCTGAAAAAGATGCGGTAATTGTTCAGAATCATGTATTTTTACTTTAATGTTCCTTGCAGAGTTAGCATAAGCTTTAAAAAGGCATAAATGCAATTTCAGTTCAGCAAATTTCATCACTGTTACAAAAAATGAAAAGCAAGTGAAAGCAAAATTCAGTAATGAAAATGCACATCTGTCAATGGACCGACTGCAGCTGTAAGGAATACTGCAATGGGGTTACCAAAAGGACAGCACTGTGCACTCCAATTAAACTATGAAGTCTGCAATCTTGCATATAGTTTTGAAAGTATCTATTCTGTGCCAACCTCAGTGTGTTTCTAAAAGACAAGAAACTGAATAGCAATGTCCTCTTCTTAACAGATAACAATATATTCAACGTAGTCTGTATTTTAGCAATAATCTGAAGTAAGTTTAAGAAGTTTTAATAAATTTTTGAATAAAAAGTGTCCCATCTTAGTGTCGCAAGTATGTGCATTTATATACAGAACGCTTTGAAAATTCATATATATACTGTACCATATGATCTTCACTGGTAATGTGTTACTAATTTTATAGACCTTACAATTTCCAAGCCTTTTTCATAAAATTCCTCTACAATGTACTTTTGGAACACTTGCATTTTTGTGAGTTGGGAAACAATTGGTATAGAGAGGTCCAAGTTACTTTGAAAACATGGTGGATCCATTAAGAAATAAGAAAAGTTAAGTAGATACCTGAAGCATGATTATTTGAGGAGACCAATAGATTAAAAGCAATAGTCAACCAGCTATCTACTGACAAGTTTTTTTGCTTCCTAGTGACATAGTTCAAAATTTTATCACATAAAGAGGCAAGATAGCTGTGATCTTTTTCTGTTATTGTAAAACATTCTGTAGAATCAACCAACGTGGAGTATCCTTTGCACAGTATATCCCTTGAGAATATCCAGATACACGAATTTAGATGTTAATTACTATGGTTTTGCAGGAACATGCTTAGGACAGGTGTATGAAAGCAAAATTTTTATTTGATCAGGTAATATGTTCTACTGACTCTACGGATGAATTAAAATCCAACCAAAATATCCTTTTTCATGACAGTGTTATCAAGTTCAGAGACCTAGAACACAGAGTTGACCACAAATCAAGAGGATTTTATCAGAGAAACAATGACCCTAGTGATCTTTGCTTTTTTGCAAAGTATGAGGTGGATTAGAAAAAGAAAGATTCACTCATTTCTAGGGAAAAGGTACTGGCTAACACTCAAGTCAGCCAATATGGTATGGCTTCAAATCTGTTGAAAATGAAGATTACCTGCAAAATGAGAGTGAACTGGTTATGTATGGGAAAAACCTCCAAAACTGTAAACTTTGAAAAAAGCTGGAAATATTTTGCTTCCTAAAGCCAGTAACTGTCTTATCAATTTGCTCCATGTTCAGACACAGTCTCTCAAATTACTGCCAAAGTATACAAGCTTATAAGCTTCATTTTCCTCAAAGCGAAAGATATCACAATCAACATTAAACACTGCCTAGAATTATAGACCTCTTAAATTTATGAAAACCACAAAATCCCACAGAGTTAATTACACACATGTCCTAAATTTGTACCCTGACAAGCTGAAATGCCACATCAGTGAGATAACAGGAGTGGCACTGGCAGAGATAATTTGCTTCTGGCTATCAGTGAGGGAAGCAGTGACAAGATCACAGAATTAGACTGTAGTTAAGCATTCTGGTAGTTTTTAATCTAACTGTTGCACAGCAAACTGTCCAAGGAGAGTATGATAAGCCATGACTGAGCTAACAGGAAATTGCTGTGGATGCTTTCAGTTACTATTAAAAAGTTTCACAAATAACAGCAGCCTTAATATATTTATATTTAATATATTTTAAAGTTTACATGACTCTAGCAATTTTTCAAGAAGGTGGTAAATAAAAAAGTAAATTCTTGCTTTGTGAATGCACTGTATTGAAGTCCTAAGTTCATTCATGAAGAGCACCATAACATTTATTTACCAAAAAAAGCCTTAAGGAGCTAGCCCCTGTAAAGAACTAGGAAGACATAATTATCTTAAACCAAAACAAAACAGTTTTTCCTATTACCTCTTTTCCTCTTTTGCTCTCAGCTGTTCCTCTTGTCTTAGAACCTGAACCATCACAGACTCAAACATGCCTGCTGACAAGCCTACTAAATTGCGAGGTGTGGAACGACGTCTTGTTGAAATGCATGCTGTTCCCTTCTCATCTTCCAGCCCATAGCATCCTCTAGATGTTACAGCTATTGATGTTTTTTCTCTTAAATGCCTAGAAGAAAAAAGCAAGCCAATCCACAATTACAATTTCCCTTACCAACAGCACTTTAATGCCTACACTACCAACCACAGATCAAGTGTATTTACTCAGAAAAAAAGCAGTTGTTTTTCACCTGACTTTTTTCCACTTTGGTAGTTCCCTTACAAAATTTAAACTTGAACCTAACATGCTAATTATAGAATCATAGAATGTTTTGGGTTGGAAGGGACCCCTAGAGGTCATCTAGTCCAACCCCCCTGCAGTGAGCAGGGACACTCAGAGCCCCATGCAACCTGGCCTTGAATGTTTCCAGGGATGGGGCCTCCACTACCTCTCTGGGCAATCCATTCCAGTGTTTCATGACCTTCATTGTAAGGAATTTCTTCCTTATATCTAGTCTAAACCTACCCTGCTTCAGTTTAAAACCATTACCCCTTGTCCTGTCATAGCTGTCCCTACTAAAAAGATTTTCCCCATCTTTCCTATAGGCCCCCTAACATGAGCTATGTTTTCACATCTGTTAAAAATGGTGGATATGTATGTCAAGTAACCAAATATTATCTGGAGATTGAATTACCTACATTAATCCATAAATATCTGGAAAGAAAATACTTCCACAAAACCTGAGATAAGAAACTATCATTTTAGAAGATACCTAAAAATACTAAAACCCCCCCAAAACTCAACGTGCACTTGTTGGTTTGGGTTGGGTGTGTGTGTGTGTGTGTGTGTCAAACAGCAGTTTAGTTTTGTTAAAAAAAAAAAACAAAACAAACAAAACACTACAAATTTGGTTGTAAAGTTACATTTAGTCTTTATCAAAGTACTCCAGCAAAACTGGTATGAGAAGTAACACCCCACCACATAACCTCTGGAAACACTTGAGAGGAGGTGAGAAAATCCAACTTCCATCAAAAGCAACCTCCGTGCTAAGGTAATTTTCTGTGTTTTGTAATATCTGAGAATCATACAGCCAATGTCGATTGCTTCCCTTGAATCACTTTGAGAGTTCTAGATTCCATAATCCTTTCTCTATATAGTTCTTAGGCACTTTTATCAAGCTAGTGTACACAGACATATTGAAAAAAATCTTTACAAATTTCTGAAAACTAAATATAAGAGAAATTCACTATATGCTGAAGTAGGATTATTTTTCACCAGTTTAATATTTATTTGAGTAAAGATTGTGTGTTTGTGGAGGAATGACAACAGCAACTGAATTTTTTACTAAGCACATATATTGCTATTTGATGACACAGTACACAAACTGACTTCACTTTCATATGGAGTTTCCAATAAAAAGGCATTGAGTGTTCTCAGGTCCTACCAAATCCAATGTGTAGTCATATAATTCAACAGAGACCCCTCAACAAAACGCCCTTCAACTCAACACAATTGAGATGTAACAGTCACACAACATACAGAAATTAACTTGGCACGAATCTTTGAAGCTGCATTTGGTTAGCTGTTTATTTGCCAGCAGTAGCTCTTTAAAGCCAGGTTCTGATATTTTTTTTTGAAATCAAGTTTTATTCAAGACTGTCCCAAACTGCTGTTACGCAAAACCAGTTTCACACACAGAGTTGCTACACTAGCACAGAATACATTCACTCTGGCTTACTCAGTCGAGTTCTGCAACACACTCAAGTGTTCCTACTACACAAGCAAGGTTCTTCTTAACAGCTGGCAGCTAATGCTCTGTGTCACTAGCAAGTTTAAGGTTGACGGACATGCACAGCTTTACGCATTTCCTAATGCCGTTCCTTCTTCACCTTCACCCTTTGCCAAACAATCCTCTTGGTTTTTACATGCAAAATACTATGTCACTCAGAAGACTGGTGGACCTTTCACTGTAAGAAGCCACCATGGTTTTCTGAATATGCCTAAACTAAGCCTATGTCAAACTCATGAGAAAGCATGTATTTCAGTTGTGATTTAAACTGGGCTTTCTACTATATAGCTTGACAGCTTTCTATGCTTCAGCTGCTTTGGCTGATAAACAAGCTCCTGACAGAGACTTATATTTAAACATATCACAATTTCCATTTTGCCATTCAAGACTATAATATGCTGAGCCTTATCTTTCATTTTAGGATTATCAAAAAATATTTCACCATTAAATTACCCATTTCAAAGCAGGTACTTTGGCTGAAGATCTTATTCCTGCTTATTTTAAAAACACTAAACATTTCACACACTGTAAAGTCCACAATTTTAAAGAGTCAGTTGTTCCTGCAAAGTTTGGGTAGTTTCACTTGCTTCTGACAGTATAAAATAAAGAAAGTAGCATTTGACATCTTGTCTAAACAAGTGTGCCTCCATGTTCATAAAAGACTTCCTTCAGAAGGAAAATCTCAGCCAGGAAATGCTGTGCCCTGTTTTGCATTTTGGTATTTTTGGCTTTGGATACCCCAAAGCATTTCGAATTAAGAGCTGAATAGTTACATAGTAGGAAATGTTCCACTTCAGTGGAAGTACTGAGACTTCATGGATTTGCATGGGAACCATTCACGTGTTTTATTGCGGGTTTTTTAAAAAACATTCAAATGGTATTTTTTACATAAAGGAACACACCCTCCCATTCTACTTTATGTCAACAGCATCTGGCAGGGCCCCTATAGAGTTTTCTACACCTACCGGGACAGCAGCGCCAGCTTCTGTTCCAGCATCATCTCCAGCTTCTGGGCCTGTTTGGAGAGCCAGTGATCCACACCGTGCAGCCGGTAACATGTCTCCAGCATTAGCCGGAAGTCACCCACGAAATCTGCTATTCCTGTGTACTGCCCACTGGAAAATTTCTCTTCCATCTTCAGCAGCCACATTCCAGCTGGCGACTGCTGAAAGGAGTGACTGCTGTTAGGACCCGAGAGGGAGCCGGCTCCTTCTTCCCCGATGGATGCCTGATCCGCGAGGGGCTTCAAAAACGGTGCTGTCAGGAGTCGGTTCTTCTCCATGAGAAACTCGCGCAAGATGCGGTATCCCTGCTGCAGCTCGGGATTCAGGCTCTGCTCCCAGGAG